GTCCAGGACAGAGCAAGAATATGATATAAAAAGGCTCAAACACTTTTTTTTTATATATATATATATATATATATATATATATATATATATATATGATTATTATTAATCTGACAGATTGTTTATCACTTTAAACATTATTTTTTAGTGGATATTCGTATTTGAGTAGACGTTCCATTTATTTACTAAAGAGTATATTTATTTATTTTTCATCTACCAGCCAGAAGGTTCAAGAAATCTTATCAAAGAAAAAAGAAGAGCACAGTTTTTTCTTTAATAATATATATATATATATATATATATATATATATATATATATATATATATATGTGTGTGTGTGTGTGTGTGTGTGTGTGTGTGTGTGTGTCTGTGTGCGTCGTAGTAGTAATAGGACTACTAAAAAGAACTGCTAAAAAGGCGCATTCAAGTTTTAAGTTTTACAGAAGTTTCCATTTTTCTCCAAATTAAAAAAAAAAATCAATCAATCATTACATACCGGGTGTAACAGCAAACTTGTCCAAATCGTCTAATAGCATGAGATAATTGTCCATCCCACAAAATGTTTAATATCTAAAAATCCACTAAACTAATTGAGTTTCTTTTTTCCAGATTTTCAGAGAAGACGTTTAGCCATCTTGACACTATTTTTCGCATGGATCACTGAAAAGTCCTTTGAGTTATTTAACTAGAAAGAGTACAGATTAAAATCCTTTTGTTTCAGACCCACTATATCTTGAGCAATGGTGGGAGGAAAATGTCATTCAGGTCTTCAGTAATGGTAGCAACATTCATACTCTGGCTTCCATCTTCAATGTCCATTCAAGAACTATCAAGAGAATGGTGAATAAGTTCAAAAGAAGAAGGAAGAGTAGAGAGAAAAACTGTATCAGGACGTCACAACAGCAAGAGGGATGATCATTTCCTCCTAGAGCTCAATACATTGTCATTGTTCTGAATAGGGTCCAATAGTGTTACAAAAACCTCGGAGAATTCCAGTAAGATATCTTTAATCATTTCTAAAATACAACGTTTCAAAGCTTAATTTAACAATTGTACAATTTTGCTTTTACACACGTTATATATATATATATATATATATATATATTAACCAATTTTGGAGTATTTGATTCAGTTTTTCTTTTTGTTTTCTCTGTCGCCGCACAAAAGCTACTAAAAAATGAATTGCTCAGTTCATGAAGGCTGGTATTTCCACAAAGCCGACGCAATTTCAAATTTCAGATACCGTACGCATTGTGAGTAAATAAACAACCATCGCTTTTCAAATGGATGAAATGTTAGAGAAAGACAATGGCGAAGAATGGATTTGTGGCAGGCCTCAGAAAACTACTTTACGGCTTATGTTAGTGAAGATGGCAAGCCGATTTGTATGGATTTGAATGAACTGATTATGAGTAAATGCGAACGATGACATTGGTCGGCGTGTATAGGAAAAGACGGGAATTTAAGCGGGAAAAGAAGAGATTAAAAACGGAAGAGATCTATTGAAATGATTTTATAAAGAAAATTACCAATAAAACTTCGGGAGGAAAAAGATACCATTGTTAAAAAGCACGAGAGCTTAAAAGGGGAGTAACATTTTGAAAAGAAAGACTCAGTCTTAGGCGGACGAAATAAATACATTTTGAGGTGAGGGAAAAGGAGAGAGAAGAATAAAAAAAGGTGGAGAAATAGGGGGAGAGGCAGAAGTTGAGGCGGAGGAAGTCAAGAGAAAAAAAGCAGACGAGAAAGGGGACAAGGAGAATGAGAAAAAGTCATTCAATGTTGAAAATAGAGAGGCACAAAACGTGTAAGAAGAATAGGAGAAGTGGGAGGAGAAATCGTTCAGTGGGGGAAATAGTAACAGTGAAATAAGAGGGGGAGAGGAAATGCAGGAAGAAATAGAGGCGTGTGAAAACATGTTCAGTTGTAAAAAATGGAGAAACGAAATATGACGTAGAAGGGAGGAAGAGGTAGAAAAGGAAAAAGAAGAAAAGTCATATGGTAGTCATATAGAGCCAAGGCAGGATATGAGGTGTAAAGGAAGAAGGAGATAGAAGGGGGAGACAAAAAAAAGAAAAGAAAAAGAGGGGAACGAGAGGATAGGAAAAGAAGGGCGAGAAGACGTTCGGTAGGAAAAATTGGAGAAAGGAAGCACAAGAAAAAGAGAGAAGAAGAGGGGGAGGAAGAGAGGAAGGAAGAGGGGAAAGAAGAGGGGGGGAAAGTCATTTAGTTGTGAAATGCATCCGAAGTAAAATATTAGGAGAGAGGAGGAGGAGAAAGAAAAAAAAGAGAGAACAACTTTAGTTTCCCCGAAAGTTTACAAAATTAAAGGAACATTGTACTTAATCATTGTTTATGTATGAGAGAGTATGTGAGTGAACAAGTGAGAAGGAAACAAAATAACATTTTAAGAAACGTTATTTTGCTTATAAAATTAAGCGTGACATTCAGAAAGACCAAACGGATCGTACGTGACTATGACTGGCCAAGCAGAAAATATAAAATCCTATTGAATGGCATCCTTATTTGGAAGTACATATTCTTCTGAACAACTTTTTCGAAAATGAAATGTACTAAAATCGTTTTTCGGTGATGACCCCCTGGATAATGTTTTGCTCCTGTCGTCGACAAATATTTCACCCAATATGGAGAAGTTATCGAAGTATAAACAGAGACAAATGTCTCATTAAGAAATTTGCCATTTTTAATTGCATTTCATTTGTAGTAAGGAATTTGCATTTTTTGTTCTTTGTGTTAGTTGTTATCCTGTTATCCGTAAAAGAAGGAACCTTGTTGAAATACTATAACATTAACTTTGTTGTTTTTTTCTTTAAACCTCCAGACCAAGACAGTTTTCTGGATGGAGCAGTCAGGAGTTGAGACAATTTATTATAGTAAATTTGATATCATGGCCCTCATCTAAGACACTACATAGATTTCAGGTCCTCTCATTCCAAAAGGTTGCCAACCCCTGGCTTAAGGCATTGTGTTTATTGACTATCTTCATAAGGGCCACAGAGAATACAATGCCAGCTTGCTGACGCAGTTACCAAAGCCTATCAAGACGAGTCACCCAGGAAAACTAACGAAAGGTCTCTTGTTTCATCAGGACAATGTTCTAGTGCAGGGGTCGGCAACCTTTTGCTAACTATGTGCCGACTTAGGGTTTTAAAATCATTCATTGTGCCAACAGCATACGTATTTTTATACACTTCAAGGTCAATATACCTGTTCTACAATATATTTTATATAGTAAAATATAGTATATATATTTTAGTATATATTAAAACTGAAACGGCTAGATATCTTTGCGTTGTAGTAGTTAGTAGTTCGGACTAAGGAATGACATTTGTAGCTGCGTGCCATTGGAAATTGTTTGGCGTGCTACGTGTTGCACGCGTGCCGTAGTTTACCGACCGCAGCTCTAGTGCATAAATCCTTGGTTTCAATGACTGCTGTCCGTGATTGAACTGGTCGACCAACTACCCTATTGGCCCCATCTATCATATACACCCGAACAGGAAAAAAAAAACACTTTGCCATGAACCAGTATGGCAGTGATGATGATTGGTTTCGTTTGGTTTATTTTGTTTTATGGCATATCAAGCTCAATGGGTTATTTAATGCCGACAACATTTTTAGGATAGATTCGTATGAATAGAATATGTATTCTTTGGTTTAGATTGGTTTGGTTTATTTTGTTTTACGGCATATCAACCTCAATGGGTTATTTAATGCTGACAACATTTTTAGGATAGATTCGTATGAATAGAATATGTATTCTTTGGTTGAGATTGGTTTGGTTTATTTTGTTTCACGGTATATCAACCTCTATTGGTTATTTAATGTCGACAACATCTTTAGGATAGATTTGTATGAATAGAATATATATTCTTTTGTTTTGGATTGGTTTGATTTATTTTGTTTAACGGCATATCAACCTCAATGGGTTATTTAATGCCGACAACATTTTTAGGATAGATTCGTATGAATAGAATATGTATTCTTTGGTTTAGATTGGTTTGGTTTATTTTCTTTTACGGCATATCAACCACAATGGGTTATTTAATGCCGACAACATTTTTAGGATAGATTCGTATGGATAGAATATGCATTCTTTGGTTTAGATTTAGTTTATTTTGTTTAACGGCATATCAACCTCAATGGGTTATTTAATGTCGACAACATTTTTAGGATAGATTCGTATGAATAGAATATATATTCTTTGGTTTAGATTGGTTTGGTTTATTTTGGTCAATGGCATATCAATCTCAATTTGTTATTTAATGTTGACAACATCTTTAGGATAGATTCGTAGGAATAGAATATATATTCTTTGGTTTAGATTGGTTTGGTTTATTTTGTTCAACGGCATATCAATCTAAATGTGTTATTTAATGCCGACAACATTTTTAGGATAGATTCGTGTGAATAGAATATGTATTCTTTGGTTTAGATTGGTTTGGTTTATTTTATTTAACGGCATATCTAACCCATTAGGTTATTTAATACTGACAAAAATTTTATTGATGGTAATATTTTGTTTTGTCAAAAATCTGTTTCTCATAATATATTTCCTTCAAAATTGCATTGCCGGTCAATTTTTTTTTCAAAACCTTATTGCTTGCAATAGTTAACTATTTGCCCATGGCTGGGAGCCTAACAGATGCTACCACCCCATGTCAGGGTGGACCTGGGAACACCAGCAATTAAAAGGTGGTTCCATGCTCCTCAAAACCTCCTGATCAGAGGCCTTGCTGCTGGACGTAGTTTAACGTCTTACCGAAAATGTGGATGTAGTTTAACGTCTTACCCAGGACGTGGATGTAGTTTAACGTCTTACCCAGGACGCGCAGTGATGATGACAATTTTGACCAACTGGATGAACAGTCTTCATTGAACAGTCAGATGTTAATTTGGCTGGAAGGAAATAATGCATTTATTAATAAAGTGTTGAAATGAATGCATTTCACTGTTGTAGCATCGGCTGTTCAGGTTGGGTT